GTCAGTCTATGTGAGTCAGTTCGTTATCAGACTTCCGCTGCATAAATGCTCATCCTATATTGGTTGATCTTTGGTTCTGCCCATACTCATTGAAGTATGTAACAGTAGGTCTCCCAACCTCCTTTGAAATGCAAAACTCTCAATGAGAAAAATTTCGAACTTCAGACTGCAAATGATTATAGGATTGTGACTTACAGAATCCTAGAACTGTGAGAAAAAAATTCCGAAAAGAAATGACAAGTATTCGGACTTACTCAGATGAGAGTATTCGCAGTTTGGAAAATGGTACTGCAAGAGGGATTTCCCGAACCGTTTTCAGAAAAAACGAATTTCGGAAAATATTCCGGATTTCCAAATAACGGGAAATGCAACAGGAAATCGAAATTTTCAAAAAGAAAGATATTCCGGATTTTCAACAACGAAATTTCGAATTTTCAGAAGAAAAATGAAAACGGAAATTTCAGATGTTGCGCTATTGCGATTTTCCACAACAGAAATAGCGAGAAAACAAAATCCAAGAGAAGAAAAGAAAAATCCGATTTTCGGCAGTAAGATCAAAATCGTGATTGGGGGGCTAACTAGTGTGCTCTAATCAATCAATCAAGACTAATCAGCTACCTTGTCCCCGTACATGTGTGAGATCAGGTTGTCCTGATTCACGTGCGGCGCTCCGATACCAACTGTTATATGCCCAATTGGGCGATGTACATAACAACCGAGGGTCCGCAATGTGATAAAAAGGACTGAATGGACAATGCAGTGCAGGTAGAATCTCAACAAGCAATGTGCATTCCGATACATACAAAATGGTGCTTTTATAGCGCAGGGAAGACTTAGATACAAATCCTGACCTGACCGGGACTGACCCCTTTCACGTAGTACAAGATAGCGAAGCAGAATGCTAGAGTACTAATGACTAGCCCAATCAATGTTTCAACGCAGACCAAACATACATCATGCTCATCACAAGGTGTGAAGGAGCCTGGCGCTATACACAGGAAGGAAGCGCCAGGTCCAGACATACACAGACGAAGAGGAGGGTATCAGACGAAGAAGAGGGGAAGAGATGGGAATGTTGTCAACACCAAGTCTTTGTCACAAGTCCCAAATAATCCCTCGTCGAAATGTCTGAAGCCCAAAAGTCGAGTCTGGATCCAATGTCACCAAGCTCTCCCTCTCTCTTTCTCTCGTAGTCTGCTGATGCAGTGAAGTCAGATAATGAGAGGGTGAGAGGGAGATGGTGGACTGAGAAGAGGAAGAAGAAGAACTCTCTCTCTCTCTCATGAGCCAGGTACTAACCTGTGAAGTTGGCGCTGTGATGCAGGTACTTCAAAGACGAAGCTGGAGCAACGGCGCTGCAGGTAAGTATCCCTGGCCTCTGCCCAATCTCTCTCCCTCTCTAGTACTACTCTAGCTATGGCGCCCAGCGCTGAAGACTACACCTAACGCTACTAGCGCTCAGCGGTGAAGACTACTGCTAACGCTACCGCTACTCCTGCAGCGCTCCTCCAGAGTGCTGCTGCCGAATCCTGAAGACTACTGACTGCCTCCTGCCTCCCTGTGAAGTGCATGGGAAGTCCCTATGTACTATCTCGGCCTGCCTCCTGACTGCCTCCGACTGCCTGCAGTTGCAGGGCGGGCAGTCCAGGAAGCTGCTCTTGCCAATGCCGAACTGAGCCAGGGGCTGGCGCTGCAGCTGTCGTGGGAACAGGCCAAAAATAGCCTGTTCCTAAAACCCTGGTTTGGTGCCTGAGTTTCGGGGCAGGCCGGTCTGATGAGGGCCCGAAAATGGCCCTCAGTTTCAGGCTAAAAAGGCTCATGCCGTTTTTAGTCTGAAACGACACAGGGCCTGTAGGCCCCTGTGTCCGGCGTTTCGAGCTGAACAGACACGGGGCCTGTAGGCCCTAAATTTCAGGCTTTCGGCCTGAAATTCAGGCTTTTAGCCTGAAGGACGCAGGGCCTGGAAAATGGCCCTCGTGTGCAGGCGCAGCATGTAACAGTAGGACAACTCTGTTTCCCCGCAGTTCATGGCCCTGTAGTTCTTTAGTAGGCAAACTCTGTTCCCTCTCAGTTCACAGCTCCATAGTCCATCAGTAAGCATACCCCATAGCTCATCAATAGGAAAACCCTGTTTTCCCCAACCCTTGCTACCCACATTATACCTCTCTCCCTTTTTCTCCCTGCTTCCCAGTGATCCGCCCCGTCCCGTCCTTCACAGGATTCAGCATTATTTTCATGACTTTTGGCAGCCGGGACGGTGCCTCCTAGAGGGAGGGGAGAGTGCTACGGACTCGGCCAGGGCTCGATCCCTGGTCTGCAGATTACCATCCGCCAGCTTGCTGTATTTATTTTCCTTTTTTTGTTTTTGCAATTCTTTTGTTTTGTTTTACTTTGTTTTTGCTTTTCCGATTTCGGACAGTTGGCGCCATCGGCATTCTGGCGCCCGTTTTCAAATTCCTTCTTTTTGGACTTTCGGATTTCGGACAGTTGGCACCATCCGGCATTCTGGCGCCCACTCTCAGACTTTCGATTTTCAGTTCTGGCCCTGAGGCATTTTCACTTTCACCCTCAGGACCGTACTTGAGACGGACTCAAGCACAGTACGACACAAAGTTTTCAGCCTCCGTGCTTGTGTTCAGTGCGACTTGGCTTCGGCATTGTGTTCGGGAATTCAAGACTGCGACTTTGCGACTTTTTCCACTTTGTGTCTGCGTCCATCGAGTCGTGTCGAGTCTGCGTCGAGTTGAGTGAGCGTGTGTGTGTGTGCTCTCACTCTCCCTCTGTCTCCCAGCCTTGCTGCTCTGCCTCTGCCTCGTCACAATTTCCATGCATTTGCATGCGTCATCACGCTTGATTGAGATGAAATCACACTAGATTGGAAGCTTGCTGAAAATTAAAATTGAGAGCACACACTTTGCTACTACATATAACAGAGAAATTTGGATCTCCATAGGTCTGCCCGGCTGCCTTGCGCACACAGCATCAATTGGGATAGAAAGTGATGCGGTAGCCTGCCAGAACTGCCTGGCCATGGCTGCGCCAACTCGCCCTGTTTTGTATTTTGCAAATTTGCAGCATACTTGCACTGCTTTTATTTATTTATTTATTTTTTTTTGACACTGCTTCTTTTTTTTTTTTTTTTTTTTTT